GAGGCCTTCTGCTGGCCCGAGTGGGGGCTGGCCGAACAGTACCCTGAGGTGGGCACGGGCAAGCGCTTCCTCAATTCTGGTGGTGAGTGGCAGAGTGCCCAAGGGGACAAACCCTGGGTGTCCCTGAGTCTGCAGGCTGGAGAGGGAGTGAGGACAGATCTGTAGGACCCCGGGCCTCGTGGGGTCAGTGTCTCCCTGCCTTCCAGGATTCATTGGCTTCGCCCCCACCATCCACCACATTGTGCGCCAGTGGAAGTACAAGGACGACAGTGATGACCAGCTCTTCTATACGAAGCTCTACCTGGACCCGGGCCTGAGGGTAGGGGGCGGGGAGCAGCACATGGGGATCTGGGGGATGGGGTAAAGAGAAAAGAGTGGGGAGTGATGCTTCCCAGGTGACCTTTTCCGCCCCATCTCATCCTGCCCAGGAAAAACTCGGCCTTAACCTGGACCACAAATCGCGGATCTTCCAGAACCTCAATGGAGCCTTAGGTGAGGAGAAGAGGCAAGCAGGACTCGGGACCAGGCACTGTCTTGGGCCTCTGCTGTGTTTTAGTTGGGTAGAGGTGGAGGGTGGGGTGCCGCCGTGCCTGTATTTGGTGTAATGGAGCCCCGGTGGCATAGGGGGTTGATGAAGCAAACTCTAAGGCCAGAAGTTCAAATCCACCTGTCTGCTGCTCCTGTCAAGGTCCACAAACTCCAAAACCTTCCGGAGCAGTTCTGTCCTACAGGGCCACTGAGTTGGAATCAAGTTTGGGGTGGTTTGGGGTTTCTGGCTGGAACTGGATGTGGATACGCCTCTCTGGGGTGGGGGTGGGGGGCAGTACGTCTGACAGAGGAAATGACCCCGTGCTCAGAGGGAAGCAGAAGTAGCCGCCTTCCTAGCTCACAGTCTCCGTGGGCACGTGCTGTTACCTCCCTTTCCAGATGAAGAGCAGACTCTGAATTGGTCCTTTGTTCTAGGTCCCAGGGGGAGGTCGTGGGGGGTTCTGCAGCGTGGTGACTGCCTGGGCAGGACGCTGGGAGGGGGTGGGGTGGCCATCCCTGCCCAGCCCACCTCCCCACCATGCCATAGACAGAGAGAGACGGGAGAACCGGGAGAAGAAGCGGGTGTACAGCCTGTTCATCTTTCCCCAGACGAACTGGTTTTAAAATTCGAACGGAACCGGGTCCGGATTCGCAACGTGGCCTACGACACGCTCCCTGTTGTCATCCATGGCAATGGCCCCACCAAGGTGCCTCCCAATGACTGACACCCTCAGAGACCCTGTCCCTACCCAGCCGCACCCGAGCCCCCAGCAGAGATGCTGAGAGCTTTGCAGTGCTGTCCCTCCCCTTCTCCCTGTCCAGATGTAACCTGTACTCCGTCTCCTCACTGTCTCCCCCGACAGCTTCAGCTGAATTACTTGGGAAACTACGTCCCCAATGGCTGGACCCCAGAGGGAGGCTGTGGCTTCTGCGACCAGGACCGAAGGACACTGCCAGGGGGGCAGGTGAGCAGGGGGACAACAGTGGGGTGGGAGTGGAGTCCAGGGCAAGTGGGCCGTGGCTGGCCTGGGCCTCCCCCAACACCCCCTTCATGACCTGTTTTCCAGCCTCCTCCCCGGGTGCTTCTAGCCGTGTTTGTGGAACAGCCTACCCCGTTCCTGCCCCGCTTCCTGCAGCGGCTGCTGCTCCTGGACTATCCCCCGGACCGGGTCACCTTGTTCCTGCACAACAGTGTGAGACGTCACCTGGGGCCACCCAAGGAGCCCTCCCCAACCCTGAGCAGGACCCATCCCGGGCCTGCCCCCCTCCACCGGCAAATGACTTTCAGTTCACTGCCCCCGCCCCCTGCCCCATCTCTCCTCTAGGAAGTGTACCATGAGCCTCACATCTCAGACTTCTGGCCCCGGCTCCAGGATCATTTCGCAGCTGGGAAGCTGGTGGGGCCAGAGGAGGCCCTGACCCCGGGCGAGGCCAGAGACATGGCCATGTGAGTGGGTGGGCACCAGCTCCCCGGCCCAGCCATCCCTCCCCCTGGTACTGGTGTTCCCAGCAGGCCACGGGCGAGCCCGGGAAAGAAGCCCTGCGGTTCCCCTCCACCACCTCCAACCTCGCGGGTCCCCTCGCTTCTTGCGGATCTTCCGCCCACGTCCCTCTTCTCCCACTCCCGCCCCGCCCCCCACTGTTGAGATCACCTGTGGTTCTGTCGCCTGCAGGGACAGTTGTCGGCGGGACCCCGACTGTGACTTCTACTTCAGCCTGGACGCTGACACCGTCATCACCAACCAGCAGACCCTGCACATCCTCATTGAAGAGAACAGGTCACCCACCGGACTCAGCCAAGGGACCCCTCGATAGCCCTCAGGGAACCCCAACTCCCTCCCTGGCCTGAGGCACGCCCTTCGAGGGGCCCTCACTTCAGCCTCGCCCACAGGAAGGTGATAGCACCCATGCTGTCCCGGCACGGGAAGCTGTGGTCCAACTTCTGGGGCGCGCTGAGCCCTGACGAGTACTACGCACGCTCCGAGGACTACGTGGAGCTGGTGCAGCGGAAGCGAGTGTGAGTCGTCCACCCCAGCACCTTGCCCTTGGCTCCCTGGTCAACCAGGATCTGGCTGTGGCCACCAGTCTGACATGTGGTTTGGGTAGGATGGGGTTCCATGAGGTTGACAGCAAGGTGCCTCCCAAGGGTGCCCTGAGGCAAGGGGCTCCTGAGGGGAAGGGGGGGTAGCTGTCCACCAACCTAGCTGACCCTGATGTGGGCCACTCCAGGGGCGTGTGGAATGTGCCCTACATATCCCAGGCCTACGTGATCAGGGGGGAGACGCTGAGGACCGAGCTGGTCCAGAGGGAGGTGTTCTCTAGCGGTGATATGGACCCGGACATGGCCTTCTGTAAGACCCTGCGGAGCAAGGTGAGCCAGCCAGCCAGCGGGAACTGGGGCCAGGGCTTCCCGGCCAGAGGCAGCCACGCCACTCAGGGTTCCCTCGGCCCTTCTCCCCCGACCGCCTCCAGGGCATCTTCCTCCACCTCAGCAATCGGCAGGAATTTGGCCGGCTCCTGTCCACATCCCGGTACGACACGGACCACCTGCACCCTGACCTCTGGCAGATCTTTGACAACCCCCAGGTGGGTGGGCACCCATGCCTCAGAAGATCCACAGGCTGGCCCTTGGCCCCCTTGGGCAGGGGTGGGATCTGGGCTTCCAAGGGGCGGGGCAGAGGTCACATGTCTGAAGGGGCCATCTCCTGACGCCCCCAAACCCTCCCAGGACTGGAAGGAGCAGTACATTCACGAGAACTACAGCCGGGCGCTCGAAGGGGAAGGAATGGTGGAGCAGGTGAGGCCCCCCGCAGGAACCCGGATGCCCCAGTGGCCAGGCCAGGGCCTCTCGGGGCTACTGCCAGAGCAGCAGCGGTTTTCACACTGGGTTCCCCTGGGTGCTGCAGAAGGGCCTCCGGGTTCCTGCCCCAGGGAGATGGAGACAGAGGCTGAACAGATAAGCCTTCATCCCCCACCCTACCCCTCTATCCACAGTAGCCTCTCTCTCATTAGGGGGCTTATTGTTGTGCTGGGTGGAATCCCTTTTTTAATAAGGGGCTTGTTCAGAAGTTTGAAAACCACTGTCCTAGAACCGGGGATTCTAGGATCGTCTTCTCTGCCCACCTGCGCTTTGCCAGAACCTTCTCAATCACGCCTCCACGTCAGCCTTCCCCCACTTCCTCCTTCTCGCCCCCAGCCCTAGGCACGGCCTGTACCCAAGCTCAGTCCCCATCTCCCCTGCTTCCGGCTGCCGTTTCTCCTCCCCACATTGTCTCACCTCACTCGCTGCCTGTCTCCTTGCCCTGGTCTCAGCCCTGCCCAGACGTGTACTGGTTCCCGCTGCTGTCAGACCAAATGTGCGACGAGCTGGTAGAGGAAATGGAGCACTTTGGCCAGTGGTCAGGAGGCCGGCATGAGGTGAGAGGCATGGCAGCTACCTGGAGAAGAAGGAGGATTTCCAGGAGGACGGAGATGCTGAGGGAGGGATAGGACCAGGGAGAGAGAACCTCAGGGAACACATTGAATCTACTGATCCAGCCATTGATTCATGCATCCATCTACTATCTGTCCATCCATTTATCCTTCCATCCATCTACCCACCCAATCATGCATCCATCCTTCCATCCACTCACCCATCCATTTATTCATCCATCCATCTACTGTCTGTCCAGCCATCCATCCACCCATTCATCCATCCTTCCATCCACTCACCATCTATGTATTCATCTATTTATCTACTCCTTTGTCCTTCCATCCATCCTTCCATGCACCCACCCATCCATTTATCCATCTGTCCATGTATCCATCTACCTG